AATCTAACCGATTCATAAATCCAGACTGATTTTCTAGATAAACAATCCACGTCACCCATACGTTTTTTTTTTTTTAAACATTGGTCTACTCCATCACTAATCAAAATAGGGGGCAAATGTTTCTTAACCTTCAAGAGAAAAGCGGAAGTGGGGCACTGACTAAGTCGTTGAACAAAGAAAAACTCTCCACTATCCCTCTCTCTTAGTATTGATTACAAAAATTGAGAAATAATGAGAATTAGAGAAGAGTTCGAGGGAGCGGCAGCGAAGGGTGAGATTGCTAGGGATAAAACGAAAGAATTAATTGTAAAATCGAGTGGCTGAAGTGTATCCTTGACTAAACTTAAAGTCCAAACTTTTTTTTTTATACTTTGTAACATAACCTGAGGCGTACCTCCGATGGTTAGGAATGATAGTAACCTCCTAGTATCATAGATAAATAGTCTTATAGTATATAATCCTAAAAAATCTTGCCCTTGTTTGTAATAGTTGGGGAGCCTTACCATAAACTGATACACAAGGTGCCGGAGATCGACAATAGGCTTGGTGTCGGGATCCCATTCCCGGGCTTGCCCCCTCGCTTTCTCTACAACGCCAACCTCTATGCTTCAGCAAAGGAGCTCTTCCTTGGCTACAAGTGCCAGGTCGTCGACTTCCCATCGTTTGCCAATCAACCCTGGCAATTCTGGATGATCATGTTGAAAAATGGAAACTACGACATGACCTCCTCGCTTTGCCCAGAGAACGGACGCAGGATTGGCCCCATGAATCAGACCTCGAGGTTCCCATGCTTCGAGAAAGGCTGTATGAACCAACCTCTGCTCTACCACAACTACACTGCACTGGATAGGCCTCAAGGGACACTCATGAGAGGAGGATTCTATGGGAGTTATGATCTTGAAATGGCCTTTGATAAAAGTAATTTGGGGAAAGTGAACACGTCGTTCTACTCGGTGACGTGGGAGAAGGAAATTGGGAAGGGGGGCTGGAAGTTCCACAATGTGCTTCAGACATCTGACAAATATCCGTGGCTCATGTTGTATCTCAGGGCTGATGCCACAAGGGGCTTCTCTGGGGGTTACCACTATGATACCAGGGGAATGCTTAAAATTGTGAGCGTCTCTTTTCCTCTTCTTGCTTTAAACTAAATTGATGGAAATCAAAATGCACTGACCCCTCTGCACATTGTTAATCTTAGACAGGAATAGACAGAAATTTTTTTTTCCGCACAAATTCAAATTGGGGCTTAATGGATAGTGATCTTGTGGTAATCTTGTAATTTGTTCCAATCTCATGAACACATATTTCATTTTTGGACAAGGAACTAGGTTACCTTTTGATCTCATAAAGGCACTAACTGAAATTGCACTTTGATTAAATTGTCATCCAACTCCAAATAACATTCAATATTTTCATGGCCATTGGATATTCAGCCTCCACAGTCACCAAAATTCAAGGTGAAGGTGACCCTAGAGATAATTAAAGGGGGAGGACCAACCAGCCAATTCTACCTGATGGACATGGGCAGCTGCTGGAAGAACGACGGAAGGTCGTGTGACGGGGACATCTTAACAGACGTCACAAGGTACAGTGAGATGATAATCAACCCAAACGTCACTGCCTGGTGCCATGCCGACAACCTCAACGTGTGCCCCCCATGGCACACTTTTGCTAATGGGACCCGAGTTCACCGCAACGACACTAAACAATACCCTTACGCTGCCTACCATGTCTACTGCACTCCTGGCAATGCTCAACATCCGGAAGAGCCATACAATTTTTGTGACCCCTATAGCAATCCGCAGGCACAAGAGATCTTACAGATACTTCCTCACCCTGTGTGGGGAGAGTATGGGTACCCTACCAAGCCTGGGCAAGGGTGGATCGGGGACCCCAGGACCTGGGAGCTTGATGTAGGGAGGCTGTCGGACAACCTCTATTTCTACCAGGTATGCCCACTAAACAACCTATTTTGCTCCTATGGCCTCTTACCCTTGGTAGAGGGGGGGGGGGGGGGGGGGGGGGCAATAGGTAGGGTCGGATCAGGTCCAAGTCATTTGTACCTAGACCTGAACTGCCAGGTCCCAAACATGGACCCATTCTTGGTTAAGCCCGGGGACCCAATTGCCCTACCCCTTAGAATACCGCATACCAAACCAACCCTACCCCTTAGAATACAGCGTACCAAAGGGTACATCATGAGAGCATCCACCATTGGTTTCCTTCAGTGGGTGATGGAGATGAGCCAGACTTCTTGATGATAATGATTCTCCATCGCATCCTTTCGGGAAGAGACGGTGGATGTTTCTTTGGAGTACCATGTGCCATACACTACCATCCATTGGTGTATAAAATATTTTGTGCAAGAGCCACAACGTATTCAAATTCAACTTGAATTAAAAAAATGTCGAGAATTTCAAACCGAGTAAAGTGCCCAGTTGACTGGCATCAGAGTTAGGAATAATACTGGATTTAACCAACGCTTAAATAATTGTGGTAGATCGACTTGAATCACTAAATAAATTTAATTTGATGCCTTCAGTAGTTATTTTTCTTATCATAATTGCTTTTTTTCTAAGCCTTTTTTTTTTTTTCCCTTGCATCGAGTCATCCTATAATGTTCAAGTAGATATTAGTAAACAATTGCATATTAGCATGTTATGTATGTTTCAGAACTGTTATGGGCAGAGTTACTCATCTTTGTATGGGCCGAGTTACTCTTCTTTGTATGTACAATTCAGATATACATACATGGAAAAGACTTAAAAACGTACTTTCCAAACAAAAAAAATTTAAAATACCGTACGGAAAAAATGAATAGTATTTCGCTTGCCAATGGCCATTACAATTTTGCCTTAAAAGTTGCAAGCCGTTGCGGATTTGTGGTTTTCCGTGTTTTTTGGTGTGGTCAATGGACATAGCATGTCCGGTACAGTCAGTGGACATAGCATGTCTGGTGGTTCGAAAATATTGGACAACTTCGAGCTTAGGATGAAAACACTGTTCATTTTCTCCTATAAGCGTTGTGTGTTGTGTAGTGGTTTCCGATATATATATATATATATATATATATATATAAACAATGTTTATGGGTGCAGTTGGCATACGGATGCATCCGTAGTTGTAGAGATAAGGTATACCTTCAAATTTTATCATGGTATATAATTTTGATGTAAAATGTTCTTAGGATTATCTCAAAATCTATCTTTATATCTAATTATAAAATTTTAAATTTAAAAAATGGTTAAAATCAAGTAGATCTATAAACATATGAAAATCTTGAAAATCGATGGCGTAAATAATATGTTGTAAAATGTACTATTTTTGAGACTTAAAATCTTTTTATTTTTCATGGTTATACATTTCAATGTTGAGATGATCAATCAAAGGGTTTTTCAACATTAAAACTACCTTTTTCGATAGATTTTTTAGGTGCATCTGTAGCTCTGGTTGCATCCTTATATAAACTTTTTCTATGTTTTATTTAGGCAGTTTTGGCAAACATTGGTGAATATTTTTTGTATATTTTTATATTTTTCGTTTTTGTTTTGGCATTTTCAAAAATATCTCAAACTATAAATTATTATTATTATTATTAGAGAAATTATCGCTAATATAAATATATTTTACTATAATTGGAAAAAAAACCCTCAAATTTTCAAAACCTCACCTACACCCTTTCTCACAATTTTCGGTTTTTTTTTGACAAAATTAACCTTCACGGTAGTCTTTTTACCTTAAAGAGTATTACAGTAATTTAAATACCGTAATACTTTAATAGGTATTATTTATACCGTAGTAACTTCAATTAGCATTACAGTAAAGTACCGTAAAGCTATGACCCTTTTACAACATTTTAAGTATCGTAAAAACTAACACATGTTACTTAAAATGCCGTAAAACCATTTCTCCTTATTATATTTATCTCTTTCATCTCTATTTTTTTTTATGTTTATCTCTTATTTTTATCTCTTCATTCTCTCTCTAAATCTTTTCTCTTCCTAACTGGGATATTTGGCCATAAGATTGTAGAGAGAGAAAGAAGAGCTAAAAAAAAGAATAAATAAAACATAAAAGAAGAGAAGAAAATAAGAGCTAAAAATAAAAAAATATTAATATTGTAGAGAGAGAAAGAAGAGCTAAAAAAGAATGAGAGAGAGAAAAAAGAGATAAATATGAAAAAGAATTGGAGAGAGAAAGAATAGGTAAACATAAAAGAAATTAGAGATGAAAGAAGAAATAAGAGCTAAAAAAGAATGAGAGAGAGAGAAAAAAGAAATAAATATTAAGATTGTAGGAATAGAAAGAAGAGATAAAAAAGAATGAGAGAAAGAAAAAAGAGATAAATATGAAAAAGAATTAGAGAAAAAGAATAGATAAACATAAAAGAAATTAGAAGGAGAAAAAAAAGAGATAAATAGTAAGATTATAGAGAGAGAACGAAGAGAAAAATTAATGAGAGAGAAAAAAAAGAGAGAAATATGAAAAAGAATTAGAGAGAAAGAATAAATAAATATAAAAGAAATTAAAGATGAAATAGATAAATATAAACAAAGAGAAAGAATAGATAAATATAATAAAATAAATTAGAGATGAAATAGATAAATATAAACAGAGAGAAATAATAAATAAACATAATAAAATGAATTAGAGATGAAATAGATAAATATAAATAGAGAGAAAGAATAGATAAACATAATAAAATGAATTAAAGATGAAATAGATAAATACAAAGAGAGAGAAAGAACATATAAAGATGAAATAGATAAACATAATAAAAGGAATTAGAGATGAAATAGATAAATATAAATATAGAGAAAGAATAGATAAATATAAAAAGAATTAAATATGAAATAGATAAAAATAGAGAGAAAGAATAGATAAACATAAAAAAATTAAATATGAAATAGATAAATATAAACAAAGAGAAAGAATAGATAAACATAATCAAAGGAATTAGAGATGAAATAGAAACATAAAATGAATTAGAGATGAAATAGATAAATATAGAGAAAGAATAGATAAACGTTATAAAAAGAATTAAAGATGAAATAGATAAATATAATAAAAAGAATTAGAGATGAAATAGATAAATATAAACAAAAAAAAATAAACAAA